GTCCATGGTACTTTTAATATTCTTTTCCAACACCATAATATAAATAAATCTATTCTTCTACAGTCTTCTTTATTCATTGTCCAATTTTCATATACATATGTGGCTATTGAAAATACTATGGCTTAGATCAGGCACACCTTAGTCCCAAACTAACACCTTTGTTCTTTAACATGTTAAAAAGAGGTCTTGTGCAGCAGATTTGCCTAATACATGTCATTTGATTTCTTGGCTGCTGCTTCCATAAGTGTTGATGGTTGATCTGAGCAAAATGAAGTATTTGACAACATCAGTCTTTTCTCTAGTTACCTTGATGTTATTTATTGGTCCAGTGGTGAGGATTTTAACCTTTTTTTTTTTTTTTTTTGCATTGAGGGGCAACCCGTACCTAAAGTTGTGGTCTTTGATCATCAACTATAAGTATATTAAATCCTCTTTACTTTCAGCATGCAAGGTTGTATTATCTGCTTATCACATGCAGATAATTAAAGAACCTTCTTCCAAACTTGATATCATGTTTTTCTTCATATAATCCAGCTTCTCAGATTATATGATGAGCATACAGATTGAGTAAATATGGTGAAAGAATGCAACCCTAGCACACACCTTTCCTAATTTTAATTCATTCAGTGTTCTCTGTTCTGTTTGAACAACTGCCTCTTGGTCTATGTACAGGTTGTTCCAGAGCCAATTAAGTGTTCTGGAATGCTCATTCTCTGCAATGTTGTCCATAACTTGTCATGATCCACATAATCGGGAGTCTTTGCATAGTCAATAAAGCACAGGTAAACATCTTCTGGTATTAATTGCTTTCAGCAGAGTTCCACCTGATGTCAGCAATGACATCCCTTGTTTCACACCCTTGCCTGAATCCGGCTCGAACCTCTAGCAGTTCCCTGTCAATGTACTGCTGCAGCCATTTTAAAATTATTTTTAGCAAAATTTTACTTGCGTATGATATTAATAATATTGCCCAATGATGTTCGCATTCCATTGGCTAAACTCTTCTTGAAAAGGGTACACATATGGCTCTCTTCCAATCAGTTGTCCTGGTAGTTGTCTTCCAAATTTCTTGGCATAGATGAGTGAGTGACTCAGATGCTGCATCAGTTTGCTGAAAGAGTTCAATTAATAGTCCATCAATTCCCAGAGCCTTTGCCAATGCCTTGAGTCCACCTTGGATTTCTTCCTTCAGTATCATTTCCTCTTGATCAGAGGCTGCCTCTTAATATAGTTGAACATCTACAATTTCCTTTGGTGCAGTGACTCTGTGTATTCCTTCCATCTTATTCTGATGTTTCTACATTATTTAATATTTTGTCCATAGACTCATTCAATATTGCAAGTCCAGGCTTGAAATATTTTTCAATTCCCTAAGCTTGAGAAATGCTAAGGGTGTTTTTCCCTTTTGGTTTTCTAACTCCAGATATTTGCACATTTAATTACAGTACTTGACTTTGTCTTCTCAAGCTGCTCTTTGAAATCTCCTGTTCAACTCTTCTACCTCCTCATTTCTTCCATTTGCTTTAGCATCTCTATGCTGCAGAGCAAGTTTCAGTGTCTCTTCTAACATCCATTTTGGTCTTTTCCTTCTTTCTTGTCTCCTTAATAGCCTTTTGCTTTCTTCATGTAGGATGTTTTTAATGTCATCTTACAATTTATCTGGGCTTCAGTCATTGGTGTCTAATTCTTCAAATCTAATCTTGAGATGCTCTCTAAATACAGGTGGGAATTGTTCAAGGTCATATTTTTGCTCTTGTGGACTTGTTTTAATTTTTTTCAGCTTCAGCATGAGCATGTATATGAGCAATTGATGGGCTGTTCTACAGTCTAACCCTGACTTTGTTTTAACTGATGACATTACAGACAGCATTGTACTTCAGGATAGATGTTGACATGCTCTTTTTGATGATGAATGTGATGCTATGCCATTTCAATTTGTCATTGTTTGCATAGTAAACCGTGTGGCTGTCAGATTCAAAATGACCATTGTCAATCCATCTCAGCTCACTAATGCCTAGGATACTAATGTTTATGTGTTCTACTTCATTTTTTGTCAACTTCCAATTTTCCTTGGTTGATACTTCATACATTCCATGGTCTGATTTTGAATGGATATTTACAGCTGTTTCTCCTCATTTTGAGTTTTGCTACATCAGCAAATAAAGATCCAAAAAGTTTTACTCCTTTTATATCATCAAGGTCAACTCTATTTTGAGGAGGCATCTCTTACCCAGTCATATTTTGAGTGATTTCCTTCCTGAGGGAATTATTTTTCAACACTGTACTTGACAGTATTCTGGTGCTTTTTATCATGTTTCAATATTCAATATTTTGGTGCTATTTGACAGTGTTCCACTGCTATTCAGAAGGTTTTCATTGACTAAATATTCCTTCCTAGTCTTAGTTTGGAAGGCTGCCCACCAGTGGTGATCCTGCAGGTATTTAAAATGCTCGTGGCATAGCTTCTAGAATCACAGCAGTACACAAGTCATCACATTATGGCAGACTGCCAGATGAGTGGTAGTTTTTCTATGATGTTGTTGTTGTTGTTGTTATGTGCCATGGAGTCGATTCCAACCCATAGCGACCTTATATAGGGTTTCTGAGGCTGTAAATCTTTATGGGAGCAGAAAGCCTCATCTTTCTCCTGCGGAACATCTGGTAGTTTCGAACGGCTGACCTTGCGGTCACTACGTAGCCACTAAGCTACCAGAGCTCCTTTTTTTCTATGATAGCAACATTAAATATGTAAGACACCACCCTGTAGAATATCCATAGTTTGGTACTGACTCAATCCCAACAGGCATTTTTGTTTATTTCATTTTTATAAAAGAACTCAGTGTTGTAAGACATCTCTAAGCTAATATTTTCCCTTGCTTCTTCGTGTTCTTTTTTTTTTTGTTTTTTGTTTTTTGTTTTTTTACTTGCTGCCATTCACTAACATGGGAATGACATAGTGGAGGAGGGCAAAGATGGAATCTGAAGTCACCATGAACTCTTTTTCTCATTGTAATTCACTAGTATTCTTCAAATAAGTAATATATTTCACAGTCTATGCTACCTCTGCTCTCCAAGATTTTAACCTATTTTTGGCCTGTAGTTGCCATTTGTCTTTAAAACATTTATTTTTAGCAATTCTTAGCATCAACTAGTGGGCTTGATTCTCAGTCAGGAAGATTTTTCACGTCTGTGCTCAAATTCAGTCCAGAAAATCCTATACAATAGAGTATCAGTCTTTTCTGATATTACTGTTTTCTTCCCTACCAGGTTTCATTTATTTATTTATTTATTTTTGACATGTGAAAACAGAGATGACTCTTCCATGTGGTGAACAGTGAAGTAAGAAATATAGAAAGGAACATAAGGTTAACATTTATGAACATATCCAACTGCTTAATAATGGTCTAATTATAAAACATTTCATTAAAAACAAGTGCTAGATATTGTGCAGAATTTCAGAAACAAATGATCCAAAATTAACTTGTTGTTGAGATTGGAAAGTTTCCTCAGAACTAGTGATAATGACAATTGGCAGTAGACTTGAAGTTTGAAGTGTTCCTAACACTCTATTATCAAAGAGGAAGCTAGCTAACAGGCTTAGCTGAACATTTAGACAGTGAATTTGTCTCCATACTGACTGTCTGTTATGTTGATATGGCCATCAGGGAATTTCCAGAAAAGGAAAACAGCTTGTGGCATTTAAGCAGAGCTATTAATTGGTACCATTTAGTGTAGGATGACCAGGAACAAGATTCCATAATGGTAGCAGGATTGTGTTCTTTAACATTCTCTCAGTTGCTCTATCTTTTCCCAGGCACCAGTGGAGTCTGGGGATGAGGGTAGGAGGGAGGAAGTTCCAATTTAGCAAGAGTTAAAGTTCATAGGCATATTTCAGTCAAATTCTTCTCCTTTCTCAATTCTTTTTACCATTTTTTTACCCTATGTTTTCTTTTCCCCTTCCATATACTCTTCCTTCTCTCTCTCTCTGTCACACACACTGTCTCTCCTTCTTCAGCTATTACATATAAAGGGAATGTAAACAAACTTACCTATCTATAGATTTCTTTACTAAAATGGACATATCCAACTTTGTAGATCTTTCCTAAAGAAGGTCCTAATCACAACTTCCTATCTCCATGCCTATTTAACACAGTCCAAAGCAAACCCTATCATCAGTAACACATTCTCATGTATCTTGTTGTTAGCCTGAAATTCTCAGTGATGATATAGTTTGATATTGAGAAGCCATACTTTCAAAAAAATTGTTTAGAACATGATCCTTGTGAAATTGTGTTTTAGTGTCATCGAGTTTGTTCTGACCCATAGCAATCCTGTATAGGGTTTCTGAGTAGCAGTTGGTTGGTTTGAACTGCTGATCTTGTGGCTAATAGTCCCGTGCTTATCCTACAGTGTCATATCAGGACTCCATCCTTGTAAAAAGGACCCCATGTAATCTGGAGGAGAAGAATGACAGTTTCAAAACATAACGACTTCTTCACTTTGGTTGGTTGAAACTTTATAACATAGTGTAATTGACGATGTCACCAAAATCACTTACAACATGGATGTACCTTCCCCATGTGCCACCTTACTTTAAATTCTTAACTGATGACTTGGGACATCCAAATACTCTAGTTTCTTGCCTCTTGATCAGGACAACTTTGAATTGAAGAATGCTATGTCTACAGAACTCGCTGAAAATTGAACCAAAGTTGTTCCCTGTGGGACTTTTGTTGGCAATACACACTTGTTTGACTTCTTTTCTTTCCAGGCTCTATTGTCTCACTCCCCTTCCAGAATTTACCCCCTCTGGGAATACTTTCTGCTTTATCATTTTCACAGTAAGGTTTGTCTTGAGGCTTGCCTCTATGGAAACTGACCTTAAGTAAATCACATTGTCAAACTATTAGAAAGGCAAATGGAGTTATTGCTTAAAAAAACAAAAGAAGTGATCTGCTTTTAAACTTTAGAAAACAGCCATGTCAACCTCTATTTTTCAGGAAGAGAATATGAAGGAGAAGAAGAATATCTGGAGATCCTTGGCATCACCAGGGAACAATCAGGCAAATATGAGTGCAAAGCTGCCAACGAGGTCTCCTCAGCGGATGTCAAACAAGTCAAGGTCACTGTGAACTGTGAGTATGGTAGGAGCTAGCAGGTGCTATGTGCCCAGGGCCAACCTCCACCTCTAGTGAGTTCTAAAGATCCCATTAGCAAAATAAAATTGCATTTCAAGCAGATGCTCTTCTGGTCAGGGATGCACATTTATACATTGGACATATCCAAGGGCAGAATCTAGCCTTTGAATTTGATAAATCAAATCTGTCAACTCTAAATATAACCCATACATTTAACAATACACTGTCTTTTACTCAGACTACAGAATTAAGAAAATATAATCAGACAGCACTAGCATTTCTAGCAATCACTATTCTTGTCTTCTTGGAGACCAAGGTCATACTACTTGGAAAGAGGAACAATTCATATCTGTTTTAATTAGAATTTCCATCTTAATGCATTGTTTGTCAAAAGGGAATAACCCAAAATCATATTTTATCTTCTACTACTTAACTAATTGACCTTGGGACTATATTCAAGCCACTGTGGCCAGATTCCATGTGTCATTGGTGGCCAGCAGAGATGCCTGATAACTTCCTTTCGGTTACCTATTTGTCCCAAAGTATGGGCATTAGAAAGTAAGATTTCACTAAGATGCATAGGTAAGTGGGAGTACTTTGAACTTTTCAGATGAAAGGCTCCTTAGATGTAGTTCAAAAGTGGGGGAAGGAGGATCCATGTGATACGTGTCACCTAGTAAAAGGAATAAAGAGAATTCATTTACTCTGTTCAGTTAGGAGTGGCTTTCCATATCATTCACATTCAAGTTAGCATACCACACAGTTGTGACTAATTACAGGGACAAAGGAATGTGCTGGCAGTTGATCCCTTCTATGCACGCAAAACATTGCACATATGCACACATACCCTACACACATACATTTAAACACATACATGTGTATATATATATATATATATATATATATATATATATATACACACACACAGGTACACACACACACACACACATTCTGCATGCACCCAGATAAACACACATACTATCTTACTCATATATTCAATCACACATGCCGACATACATACGTGTATATAATGTATACACACATAGGCACACAAATATACATGCACAGATATCTTAACCCATATTTGAAAGTACTTGTATCCTTTAGGCCTTGATGAGCTAGCTACTTTCCTTCGTTGTATGCCCTATGTACCACAGTGATAGTGGTGGTTATGTGCCACGGAGTCGATTCCAACTCATAATAACTGTGTATGGAGTTTTCAAGGCTGTAAATCTTTATGGGAGCAGAAAGCCTCATCTTTCTTCTGAAGACCAACTGGTAGATTCGAACTGTTGACCTTGTGGTTAGCATTTCAATTCATAACCCTCTATGCTACCAAAGCTCCATCTATGTGTCGTAACTCTATAGAAATTTTCTCTAATCTTTTCAATAACCTTGGCAGGTAGATATAATTGACTTCATTTAAGAAACTGAAGCCCAACAAGATACATTTTCCTTTCCAAAGTGACACAAAAAGCAAATGTAGGGAACAAGATTAAGGCACAAGTCCATTGGATTCAAATGCTCATGCTTCCAGGAGGAAGATTTATATTGGTTGTTTAACCCTCACACCAAGCACATGAGATGAAAAATCATTGGCTGTAGTTTAGTGATGTGGAAACTGAGGTTCTGGAAGCAGGGGAAATGTGCCCCAAGCACCCTAGCCTGTACTGTACTGTACTGCTTCTCATAACCTTTGTCTAGCTGTACCGTCTTCTGAAAGAAGCAGTAAAAGCTCTTTTATAGCAAACCTAGAAGACTCCGATAGATAGGACTCTGCCACAGACATTTATGGTACTCATTTCCAAGAATCAGGGACAGCATTTGAAGAATTCTGAAGTGCTTTAATCCCTAGTCGTCTACAATTTTTTTTTAGTAATAGAGTTTTGAAATTCCAGTATTACTATTCTTTTTCAGTACTGGGTGTGTTTCAAAGACACATTAATGATTTCAATGTTGAAAATGCTCTAGGACCTTTTTTCCCACATGAAAGGCGATTTCTCTGGGTGTTTATCTAAGTTTATAATTAGGTTAGTTCGCTTCTTTTATGTACACACAGCCATGCAATCATCTTCCACCTCTTTCCTGACTTTTGCTGTCAAGATTTCATTTTCTCTTAATTGACCTTCATCTTAATTAGATTTCCGAAAGTCCAATCATGGAATACATAGAAAATATTTATGCTTCCATTGTGTGAAACATCAAAGTGGTCTGGATTGCAGATGGCTCCCAAGATCAAAGCTAGCCGCCTGGGCCCTATTATTATTAGTGCAATTAGTCTGACATTGCTCCTTCTTGACCGTCCCCAAAGTGTAACTTAGAACTGATAATTTTCAAGAAAAGTCATTACAAAAATGTGAGCTTTTGTTACTGATAAGCATACCAGAGGAAAATATGGATAGAAGCTAATGATTCTAAAAAAAAAAAACCTGACAACAAATTGTATGAAATTCAATGAATTTAGTTAGAAGTCCAGCAGTGCCTAACACATACCTGACCTTATAGCAATTGCTCAGTAAATAGTTACGGAGTGAATAGACAAACAATTGACAAGTAAACTACCCGGAATGATATTGATCACAAATCAGGGAATCTGTCTAACACAAATTTCCTTTGGAATCACCTCTGTCAATACTTCTTAATTTTGTGTTCATTTCATATTAAAGTAATGAGTTGAGAGGTTGAAAAGTCATTGCACTTTGTAACTGTTGTCCTATTTAAACATCTACCCTACTCACATACAGTTGTATCAAATAGAGGAAATCATCGAATTTGAATTAAAGAACCATATCTGGCTAACAAACCTCTTGCAATCCGAGAAACACCCAGGATCACCTTTGCCACTTCATTTAATCCTTCCTGCTATGTAAATGTCCCATGATTTAAACTGACTCCTCTTCTGTTTCAGAACATGAGTGTTAGAATTAGGTCAGAGGACCGGGCTAGCTAAGGTAACTAATAGTTGTATGGATTATTGTCATAAAATAAAGCCTGGGTACCACTAAAAAACATCCCCTGCTGTTGTTACTGTTAAGTGCTGTTGAGTCTGTTCCAACTCATAGTGACCCTGTATGGGGTTTCTGCGGACCAGCTGGTGAGTTTGAACTGCCAATCTTGTTGTTCAAACTGACCTTCAAGTTAAGCACATTATCCTGCAACACCACACTGGTAAATTACTCCCACCATCGCTTCATTTATTCAGTCAATCTGCCAACAGATATTTGTTGCAAGAAATGGAAGATAGAGCAGTAAACATGAAAGATATAAACATTTCTCCTATTGAGCTCACAAATGCAAGTCTCTCTACTTTTCACAGATAACTCTTTACCACAGTAAGTCTACAGCATTGCACACAGCCATTTTACATGCAAAATCCACTTTTCTTCGTGGTAGGAGGTCCTGGAGTTAACCAAGGGCTAAATTATTGATTTGAAATCTCTTCAATTAGATAGGCTTAGTAACATTTTACACAGTAGACAGGACTTCGGCTTGCCAGCATGCTACCCACAGAGTAGCTAATTTCTTCCAGATGCAGTCCATAGGGATAGCCTGTCCTTTTGTTATGGGTTACGTGTGTAATCCCTCAATTTCAGTTGATGGTCTTATTCTCTACCTCTGTCCTGGTGTTCTACATATGAACTTGTCTCATACACTGTCCCATATCTTTAAGTTAATAACCAGCACAGGTTGTTGTTGTTAAGTGTCATCAAGTCGCTTCTGACTCACAGCAACCCCATATAGGGTTTCCAAGGAGTGACTGGTGAGTTTAAGCTACAACCCTATGGGTCAAACTGACCTTGCGGTACAGTGTATTATCCTACAGAGCCACACCAGGATTCCTAGCACATAGTGAAGTTTATTAGATAAAGACTGTTGATTTTATTTGGACTTTTTCTATATTGAGTTTTTTTTCTATTTGTGGCGAATTCTTCTCATAAACTGTCCTAAGCTCTCAAGCTTGGCACATGCCACCCTTGTTCCCACCGTCTGCTTCCCCACCTTAACCTCTCCAACTAGGTTCACATTGGCACTCTAACTCTTAGTGCTCTTGAGCTTCCTTGTGCCTCCACCCTAGTGGCCACAGTTAACTAACCAACACAATATAGATGCAGAGGACATGGGTCACTGGTATTTCTAAAACTCACTCTTGGGAGATAGTCGTTTTTTTAAGAGCTACTTTATTTAAGGAGAGGTTACTATGGACTACAAAACTGGACTGGGAAAACTATTGTCTCCTTGTAATATGAATTTTATTTTAACTGAATTTTTTTAAGTTTTAATTTAAAAATCAACAAAGGTGGAAAAGTTTAGGAAAATGATTGTTTGGTATGGAAGACTGGACACTTTCTCTAGTTATTCAGAGCTAGATCTAGCCATTCTCTTTGCTGACTGCTTATTAATTTTTGTATTTAGAAAGATATCAATAAAAGCTCATCCTACTACTTTTCCACTTAAAACCATATGACCACCACTTGTCTGTCAGTTTGTCGTACTGTGGTGGCTTGTGAGTTGCTGTGATTCTGAAAGCTATGCCACTGGTATTTTAAATACCAGCAAGGTCACCCATCGTGGACAGGTTTCAGATGAGCTTCCAGACAAAGACAGACTAGGAAGAAAGAGTAACAAACTACTTCCGAATCGCTAGTCACTGAAAACCTTAAGAATAGCAGAGAAACACTGTCAGATACAGGGCCAGGAAATGAGCCCCTCAGGTTGGAAGGCACTCAAAATGCGACTGGGGAAGAGATGCCTCCTCAAAGTAGAGTTGACCATGATGATGTGAATAGAGTTAAGCTCATGGGAGAAAAGCCCACAGAGCATTCATTTGCTGATGGGGCACAACTCAAAATGAAGAGAAACAGCTGTAAACGTCCATTGAAAATCAGAACATGGAATGTACGAAGTATGAATCTGAGAAAATTAAAAGTTGTCACAAATAAAATGGAACATAGAAACATTGATATCTTAGGCATTGGTGAGCTGAAATGGACTGGTAT